AAGGAAAAGAGAGAAAAAACTTTACTCCATGTGTTTGTGAATTAAAGTGGTGATAGATCTCCAGGAAAAAATGTAATGACAGTGTTGGAACTGTTGAGCTCTATCCAAACTGGCCAATCATCACTAGATATGGGGGGAGAAAGAAGTGAGCCTGGGCAAATCAGTCTCCTTATCAGATGAGTTACTACTCAAGACAACTATGAGATGATGTACTGTAGAGTAAATGGAGTCCTTTCTAATGAATAATTATTTTCTGAATTTGCTCAAAATGGTCTTTTAGTTTAATCAGGACTACCTTTCCAACCTCTCTCTTATTCAATGAAGGCAACTGAAAAACAACTTAAAGAATATTTTAGACATTGTAATTATGCATACAGGCGTGTGGATTGGTGCCCCTGTCTCACAGCTCCGGGGTTTGATTCCACTGTGAAACATTCTGTCTGTTCTTTCTGTTTGTTTGGGTTTTCCCCTGGTGCTCCTGTTTGAACCTACAGTACCTTTGTAAAGACATTCAGGTTAGATTTGATTGGCGGCTCTACATTTTCCCCAAGGGAGAACTTGGAGATTTATCACGGAGTGTCACACATGTTATAAGCAAGAAGAATATTGCACACATTGTAGGATTGCAATGAATAAAAATCACCTCACCCACAGACTTAATACATTATCCCATCCCTACGCACGTAATTTGCACATCCAAACTGTATCTGACCTCTCAAGGCTGGATAAACAGCGGTATCGTAGCAACAAAGAAATAAGATGAGACCTAATGAGAGCCCATCTCCCATAATTTCTGTTTTATAGTCGGAACACATTTTTATGAGCTTTGAGTCAGAAATTTCATAAGTTGATAAAGGGGATATGACAGGACCTCAAGGCCATGAGCAATGAGAGAAATGTCTTTGTTTCAGAGAAGAGGTTTCAAGGTCCTGTCGTTAATGGCCACTCATTTAAATATTTCAAAGTATTTGATGTCTGATAACTAAGTTGAAGGTACATACAGTATCTAAAACAAATAAGGTTGGTAGTGATTAATCCATCCCAGACCACATGTTGCAAGTGGGATTTTAAAGAAATAAAAATTAAGAAATAAATGCCACAAAAAGTTACTGTACATTAAGCAACCCAGAATGACCCTGATATTTGGGGTGTTCGTGTGTGACCTTACGAGTAACACACTAACAGGCATCAAGACACCATTGGAAAGATCAAAAACCTGAAAAAAGGCACCACAATAACTGGAAAAATGGCCAACACTTCTGCCAGGTCCACACTCAGAAGAGTCAGTGGACTTTGCAGCCTGACCTCTAAAGTCCCAAAAAAAGATATATTAATGGCTATTCCCAACCTGATGTGTCTCAAGGCAAATTCAGTATTCCGCGGTTGTCCAAACAAATTGTAAAGCTTTTATAAAGTGCATAAAACAGAGGACAAAGAGGTGCTTAAATAGGGGTACTTCATGTGAATTGATTAATAGATGAATTGATATTCCACGGGCTTGCTTCATTAACTGAGTGCTGGAATGAGACATTAGAAAAACTAAGAGATGATCGGCATTAGAGACAGAAATATCTAAGATGTTAACTATGAGAGGAAATTAAATTTAGAGGATGTGACATGAATTCATGAAAACAACGGAGAATGCTAAAGTTGATATGGTGTGAATTGTAATGAAAGGGATGTATTTTAGCCAATGAGCTTGATGCAAAACAAAGTAATTCTAATTTTACACTATTTATATAATGAGAACACACCACAATTTTGCATATTACCACAGTTCTACATTAAACAGGAATACTAGGAGGCACAGGAAGCCTATACCACAACTATTTCGTTTCTCAAATATATCACACTGACATTTGAAGGGTTATGCTGAAATATTCCTTTATGAAGTGCACAGCTATACTGATTTTATATTTAATTTGAAAAGCTGGATTTCTGAAAAGACCACAAACCTTCCTCCAGGCAGTAATACTAAACCATTTGTCTTCTCGGACATGTGGTATTTAATGCATGCAGGCTTGATAATTATGAATACCCCTTCAACAAAGTCCCCAAAAACTTGAAATGCATTTTAAACAGGAAGCTGAAAACTCATTTACACAGACAGCTTGTCAAAACTGTGTTTTGTTTATGCTCGTTCAGGCAAAAGCAAAAGGCCCATATTCTTGATGGGAGTTTATTTCTCCTGACTGATATTTAATTAAAACTTCAAATAATTGGCATTTTCAAATCATAATATTATTCTTTGAAAAATGACTGCACAATTATATTAACTGTGTGTGTATATATATATCATTGGAACAACATGTGAGTAGCTCAGGCAGTGTTTGATATTTCTTAGTATTGCAATTTATGCCATATAGTGTATCTCATAGAGACACAGGTTTCCCATTAAGAAATATGGCCACCAAAATGATCCATCACCTCATAACGAAGAGTTAGTAACCAAGTTCATTTTTCGTGCACTACAAAGAAAAGTACTTTGCAAATACAGTACAAACAGACTGTATGCTGTACGTACAGTATATGGTTTTAGTATGTACTGTACGTGCACTGACAGGGCAAATGAAGATAGAACATAGCTGTTAAGAGACAGATTCTGGAATCTAAGGAACAAACTACCAATGAGAGTTGACTGAGCTGATCCAACTCTTGCAATGAAGTTTAATTGCTAGGCTGTGATAAAAATGTTGAGAAGCTACCTCAGTGTTGGAGCAAGGACACGTTTTCAGGTGACCTACTGTAAAGGAGATCACTCATCTCTGATTTTCCTTTGACTTCCTTCAAAAGATGGGTATCTATAGAGTGCTCCATGAAGCTTCAGCACCTAATGCTACTCATCTTGTACAGGGATGTCTCCTAGGTAGAGTTACATTATGAGTCTTGTGGAAATAGCTGCTGTCTGTCTTGAGATGTTCTCAAATCCCCAGAGAAAACCATCACTGCAATTTGCCACAAGCAGGCAGATCAAAGATACAATATGGTTTAATCCTGGAACCCATCTCTTCTAGCTTTCATTTCAATCTTTACTTAGGCGAATCAAATGCTTTAATTAATTTGCTTGCTTTTAATTAGTCCTTTTTTTCTACATTTTATAATTAAAAGATCTTGACAAGATTATAAAAGTAAGCAGTTCCATCCCATTTCCCTTGAAGCTGTAGGCTTCAGAAAACCCTTTTTTATGTACCTTTATATTATCACACATGCAACGCTTTTATAAACTAATAGAGTACAACACACTTAACATCAACTCAACAGACTGTTGAATGATGTTTGCATAGTTTGGTTTCTGAATCAAGGAGAACTAACAGTAGCACACACATATGGAGTAGTGCACAAAATTAAGATTGTTTTTGTAGTATCCCCTTTACAAAAGTAGTATTTGAAGTCTTCTTTTGAAATCTTCAGTTGAAATTGCTTGCATTACTAACCGAAACATACATAATCGAAAAACACCCGAAGAAGGCTCCACAGCAGAGACGCTATGCTTTTCTTTTTCCTTTCAGCATGGAATAAACTTTTACCTGTTCCGTAGATACACAGTCAACGAAGAAGTAATTGAAAGTCTAGATGTATTCTAAACCTTTTTTTCCTAAACAAACCAACTCGGCTGACATTTCACAGAACTATTCACCTTACAGAAAGGATTAAAGATGGGTTCAATCCCTGGGTTGCTATCTGCGTGGAGTTTGTATATTTGAATGGATTTCCTCTGGGTGCTCCAGTTTCCTCCCACAGCCCAAAGATATACAGTACTGGAGGTTAATTGGTTTCTGGGAAAAGTGTGTGTGTGTGCCCTATAATGGACTGGCATCCTGGTACCCTGCATTGTGCCTAGTTCCTACTGGGACAGAATCCAGCTTTCCCACAATATTCTGAGTTGGATAAGGTGGTTAGAAAAAGGATTGATGGACAAAAGCATGAGAGGGCTGGTTTACAGCACAGATGTACTGTATAGTTAAACCGAAGCTGCATTATGAACTAAGACGGGTAACCAAAGTCACCTGAAACAGTACAATTAGGTAAATTAGGTCAAAACTGTGTTACAAAAAACACTTGGCATTGTGACTGATGATTTGGTTTGGAGGCATTATAATTCATGTTTCACATTCTGTCAGGTTTCAAATATCTTATTCTTCAGTTTGATTATTTGCATAACAACTGTAAAATTGACATTTAACATTTTGATTTTAAACATTTATAATCCTCTAAATATTATGGACCTATAAATATGTATCCAATGCTCATTTAACAGTAAGCTGAATGTGAAGTACACAAAGGCTTTATTGACCCAATTTCCTTTAAATGGCTTTCAAAGTTATTTAACAGATAACTGAACAGTATTGTAGTACTGTTGAGTACTATTGAGCATGATTAGTAATGTAACATTTGCCACTCAGAACAGTAATGCCTTCTGCTGACATACAGACCCAGATTCCCATCTATAAAAAAAGTAGAAAAAATATTTTAAAATTTGAATGAAAGAAAAAATTCATATGAATGCAGAAAACGTTTGAGCAGAAAAGTTAACAAAAATCGTCTTTTAACTTGTCATTGAAGCTACATTGAAAAGGCCGGTCTAAAAGAGCGTAAAGGGTGACTTGTTTCTCTGACTTCAGATACAGAGCAGGCAAATTTTGAAGGTGCTGTTTGTGATGTGCATGAGGTGGGGGAAAAAAAAGACTACTTCTCTTTCTGCAGTGCAAGGCAACACCAATTCTGAAGCGAGAAATTATCGTTGCATTTCTCCAGAAATCACTTAATGATTTTATTTAGCACATTATGGTTCACGCAGTGATGAGCGAAGCAGAAACTGAGCGTGTGAGAAAAATAAAGTGTGAAGTGAGGTTTCGGATTGGAATGGAAGACGGAAACGTTTCGTATATTCAACATGTGGTACATGTGTATATACTCTATTTGTAACCGCGACCATCGGGACTACGATTCCCACAATTCTTTTGATTTTTTTTTTTCCTTTACTGTACAGAATCCTGTGCTGGTCTGTAGCTCCCCAAGGGTATGTACAGAACTCAGTTCAGCACCACAGCGAGGCAGACAAAGCCTGGCGTGGGAGGGACTGGCAAAAACCTTTTCTTTTCAATCTCACAGGGAAGAACAGCCGGAGATGCCAGAGCGCAGAAATAATAAAAAAAGGTATTTAAATGAGTCTTACTTTATGCTACTGCAAAAATCGAACACGTTGATCTGCATGTTCCAATATATTATTTTTCCCCCCCAAATCCTTTTGTGATATTTTGAAATGCTCTTTATCAGTTATCTGCTCCTATTGTACAAACTATGAAAGGGTGATGTTTCAAACGACTTCTGTTTGATGCCTTTAAAACAGCAGGTTCAGAAAGTCTTATTTGAAATGATTATTTTTTCTTTTCTAAAATGTCGTGCCATAGATCATTGACTTGAGAGTAAGGATTTGCTTTGCTAACACATTTTCATCCCTTGGGCTATCGTGTTACCGTTGGAGACGTGCTCTACTCAAAACATTTTAAAGTAGCATTTCAATGTTCGTTTGGTCTTGTGTAGGCACAGTTTTTATTTTGCATGTCACATTTTTCTTGCGCCATAAGATTTATTGTTAGCCTTTAAAAGGCTTTAATAATAGAGACTACGTTTTAAAAGACTTAGGATTATCTGTCTTTATGCGGATTTCTTTCCTAATAGGATACTGATGACTAATCATCCCTTTTAATCGCCTTTTTATTTAGGGAAAATGTTAAGCTGCCATGTATGATACTTTTAGAGGAATTTTACTTAGCGTGGCTTTTTGAATTTGACTTTTAAGTTGCCGGTGCTTAAAAAAAGTGTGCTGGAAAAGTCGTCGCGTTGCTTTATTAATAATTGCTATAGTTCTTTTGGTATTTGATAGTATGTGACAGCTAATGTATATCTGTTTTAATGTGTTAATAGGTATCCTGGCTATGCCCTAACGTGCTGAAAAAAGAGACAATCAAATGGCTTCCCTGGAGCTTCTTTACATAGATAAAGATGGCAAGCAATCCGATCCTCCAAGCAGCGTTGATTGTGGTTTGAGTCCACTGCATATTCATAAGTCGAGCACTTCTGCTGGAAATGCAATTTCCAGAACACTTCAGTGCAATTCAGCTCAAAGGGCATCTGTCAGTGAAGGACAATGTAATTCAGCACCAAGGACAGTTCCCTTGAAAGGGGGGTTGTTTGGCAAACAGAATCCTCAGGGACTGCCAAAAGAGGCAAAGGTGTGCTGTGATGAGGAATTGGAAACATCCTTTACTTACATCGACGAAAATGTCAATCTCCAACGCGCCAGTCCTCAGCTGTCTGCTAAAAGCCCCTATGGACAGTCGACTCAAAGCCCCGGCAGTGAGAACCAGCAGGAGGCTTTGCAAGAACTGTCACAGATGTCGGAGGATGAAAGTTCCTCAGAGGCTCAGGGGAAATCGGTGGATTACGGCTTCATCAGCGCGGTTACGTTTCTCGTCAGCGGGATCACACTGGTGGTCATCTCCTACGCCATCCCGCGGGAGGTCAACGTGGACAAAGACAGTGTCTCAGCCCGGGAGATGGAGCGGCTGGAGAACGAAAGTGCGAGAATCGGTGCCCATTTAGACCGCTGTGTGATCGCCGGGCTGTGTCTCCTCACTCTGGGTGGAGTTGTGCTTTCCACGCTGCTCATGATCTCTATGTGGAAGGGAGAGATGTACAGGAGGAAGGCCTTCGCATATTCAAAGCAGTCAGCAAAATTGTATGGCTCAATTAATTTAAGAGCAGGAGCGAGTCCCACTGGAACTACAGCACACTTGTCTGTGTTGGAGGATGATGTGATAACCCTTAACTAAAAATACATGTATTTTGACACAACAAAAATATCCAGTCTTATCAACAAAAGACATACATGCATATTGGTAGCTTGACTGATATTTTTCTCTTTCGGATATTCGATATAACTATCTTTGAACTTGAGATTTGAAAAACAGTGAAATATGCAAATATGATTGATAGTATAGATAGGGATCTTCTCTTTGGGGGGGAAAAAGCCATCTGATACAAATGCATATGAAGACATAAAGTCATCAATGAACAACCATTGCAAGACGATTGACAATTACATAGTTTATGCTTGTCTTTAAAACCAGTATTATTGACAGGAGTTGAGAAGACTTACTTAGGAGAACATACTGTAACATGCAGCTGTGTATCTGCATTGAAAAACATTAGTAATTGTTTTTTTTCACATGAAGACAAAATACTTCTGCTCAATATAATTATATTGATCCAAAAGCTGTTGTTTTGCTTTATTAATCTTATTTATATCCTTTTTAGTGTTTTGGTGGCACTTATGGTTATGACTTCATAGACTAGTGAAAAAGTTAGGTGAGTGAGTAACAAAATAAAAGGCAGATAGTGGCTTCACTCTCAGTTTAAAAGCCTGCTTGAGAATTATCATTATTCTTACATAATAATCATTATTCTTATGGTATAATAGTGTTTTAGGAGAGTTTTGTGTTCTATTTAAAAAACACGCCATCCAACCCTAGGCCTTAGTGTCTCATGATGTTCTTGGAAAGGCTGCATAATCCTGCTTAATTTGGCATATGTTCCTATATGTCTGTTTCATTTACAGTATTAAGCTGTGATTCTTCAAAAGAACAAACTATGGAGTAGAATTTGAATGTTTCTGAACTGTCAGATATCTGCTAGACCTGGGTTGTGCACTAGCACCCCACCTCATTCATCTGGGTGGTCTTAGGTGATGTTCAACAGGTGCCTTGAAGGGAAAAACATTCCTCTCGGCTCTATAGCTGACTGTTAAGCCTTCGTATATGGGCTACAGAGGTCCAAGTTGGCATTGTTAAAAATCAGAACACCATGAACAAGAAATGTTCAGAACAATCAAAGCCTTATGCTGAATAAAAAGGATAATGTGACTGTTAAAAGATTGAAATTATTATTGCTTCTCAAATATTAATATTTTCCACTTTCCAAGTGCAAGACCAAAGTCATATTTGTAGATCCTCCAAGCAGCAGTGATCTGTGCTATATATAAATATCATCCACCTCATAGTATTGTTTTTGTCTTGGACCTAACACAATTATAAGGACATGAACTGTACAGTATATGCTATTGGAGTTAATATGTTAATATGATCATTTCATTATCTAGCTCCCTGTAATGAGACACATTACCAGACACAAGATTAAATTACCTGCTTGCACAGAAGGTTGAACTCACAATATGACATTGCATTTTGGAATAAAATGAGAGTGTATTTATTAAAAATGAACTTGTTCACTCCTTTACCTTGGGTTTTCACAAAGTTAATACCAAGAAGAAGAAAAAAGTCATAGTATATCAAGACGGTATGGTATGAAGAATAACATTATACATCTGAAGGCATTTCCTGTATAAATTGGAATCCCTGTTTCTGAATCGGTGTTCATTGTGCACATAAAAGAAACAAACTCCCATTACTTCAAAGTTCATATCCTTGAACCAACAATCATACTGCACAACTGGATTACGGGGAAAGGCTGGAAGATGCAAAGATGTTTTTCAGCAGCTTTCAGGATGTTGTGTTTTTTTCCTGCTGAGTTTTCTGAGGGGCTCAGATTAGAATCCCAAAAAACAATTGGCGCCATCTCAGCCGAGGGAGGGTAGGGAATGAGCAAGAGCTGTTGTAGAGCTGAGGCGTGGCTGGAGATCTATGAAACAAAACATCCATGATGGCAGAATGCCTAGATGGAGCTTTTGTTTCATCACTCCCCAACGTTTAATACTAAATACGTGTGCCTCATGAAAGGATTGCGGAGGAAAGCTTTAACTAGAAAAGACGTGGTCAGTTCCCTTGCCTTTTCATGCTGAATATCAGTAACTTGATCAAAAAAAGGAGTTAGTCAGCCAAATAATTCCATCTTAATTCACCTCGTATTCCCATTGGTTTATATGGGGTTTCATGGGCTACATGCAGTTTAAAATCTTAAACTGCAAGCCTTGTCTTTAGCAGGAATATGTCGGTCTTGAATCTCACGTGGTATCGTGAAATGTTTTGTTCCATAAACCAGTGATAAATGATTTCATCCTTTTTCTAAAGGAAACTTGGAATCTGAGATGTTCTTCAAATTGTACAAAGCTTTTTGTGTATTAATGTCATACAGCATTTACTAAGGCCTTATTTAAACTATTATGGTATCTGATTGCAAGCTATGCATAACTGCGGCAGAAAATAAATTGTTAATTTATACATGATGCTGGTGTGTCTGTCTTTTCCCAGATTAGATTGCCAATGCAATGCCAGGATATGCATCGTTAATTAGCTTTTTTTTGCAAAACCTGGATTAGTGCAGATTGGGGGTCAGATACTGTACATCCTTTCATACAGCATTTACTTACTTTGAAAGACATATGTAAAATGGCAGATATATATATATATCCCTCATTTCCTAATTTCCTCTACGTTTCAGTTTGCAGCTGTTCTGCATCTAAGCTTTGTGTATTCTGTTCTTTTATCAACACATAATTGACTTTTCACTTTCACAATTTCTGATCCACTTCTTTCTCACTACACGTGTTTATTACATGTAATTACAAAATCTTAGATTTGTTTTAAAGTGGCAAAGGTTTGTATTTATACCCATCCGTTCTTAACTGGACCAGTTGTGCAAATTTCTATCTTCTGTCTGTCGCCGTTGTATAGACTATAAGGATAACACAATTAATGTTACTGTGAGCCCAAAGAGTGAACAGAGAGCATGTAGCCACGTGTATTCTGGTTTATCTTCATGAGTGCAGACTATCTTAAATAACAAGAGCCTTACAAAACCGAAAGCACCTTATTTCTTTCTCAGATGAAATTGGATTAAACTAAAGCATTTGACAGCTACATGTACCTATACCAGAAAGTCACATTTCCAGACTAATGGGCACTTGGTTAATTGGTTTTCCATCTGATAGATTCTATCCAGAAAGCAAATGCGATGTACTTTTAAAAGCCTCTGGGCACAAATCTTCTCCATAGTAGCTACGCAAATAAAACTCTTCAGCCGTAGTCCCGTACATTTGGTTTGACATAAAATTTTGACATAATATCAGACGTCAAGAAGCATGCTCACAGTGGAATGAACACAACAATGGAAGTAACAGTTTATTTCCCCTTCCTACTCCAACTGAATTCTCCCAGGACTCTTGATTGCTAAAAACACATGCAATAACATTAAAAGAGCATGGCTGATGAATTCCTTCTTCATAATGAAAATGGAAATAAGCATCATGGTCAGTCTGGTTCCATTAACAGATTGGTTACTGATCAGCCAAGCTCAAATCATTATTTTACTGCACATTGATGTGTGAAGTAGGATACAGTGACACTAGAGCTTTGCAATTTCTAAAGAGCAAACAGTGAGGTTTGAAAAATATAGCATCTTTCATATGGAGCTACAGCTGTTTGATTAACATAGAACATCACTTTCCAACAATAACACTGTCAAAATGATGTTCCATTTGTCTTCCAGAAACAATACCATATAAAAAGTACTTTTCTAACCTGCTTAAATGTATAACTTATTTTCCATGAATTTTATATGCCCAAACATACATCGAATCCAAAAGCAAATCCTAAAACAATATGATATTCCTACCCATTTAGTATTGTAGTACATTAAGGTTACCCATACCTACATTAACTAGGTTTAATGATTTCTATTTATTTTATAGAAAGAAAACAGAACTTCCTTTTTATACTTTTTGATTGAAATTTAGATTAAATTGCAAATATTGATGGAAAGCCACTAAATAATCTTCTCTGCATAGTATTAGATAGAAATCATGTTTGTATAAATGCATATGTACATCGCACATAATCGACCAGATTCTGGAATTCTGTAATTTTTCCAGGAGAAAGTCAAGTCAGTTCACATTCGGTTGATGGAGGTGGAAAATGCCGTCTTCAGTGTCATTCAAGAATATCCCATAAATGTTTTGGGTTCTATATCGCTTGACATACAGTATGATTAATATCAGTGTCGTGATCATCCAATCATTGGGTGACCACATGTGCTCTATGGATGAAGGAATTGTCCTCCTGGAAGATGTTTCCTCAAGATGATTGAGACGAATCTTCAAGCAGCAGAGCACATCTGGAGAAACACTGCTGGTATAGAGTCAGGATTAATCAGCTAGGGATCTCTTAACTCTCAACAAACTTCCTAAGTGCCCGCAGGCTTGAGGTGATGTCAGTGGGAGACTCTCAGCTTCTCCAGTCAGCACTAAGACGTTTTTATAGCATGTGAAAAGATTAACAGCTGAGCTGTTCATGCATGTACAGTACCTCATGCAGTACAGGAATCTTTGCTGCTGTGAGCCAAGACTTACGGTGACAACTGGTGATAACACATTGTTAAAAACATGTCTTTGAATTTTGTGCAATTTCCTGTAACTTTAAAAGTTAGTTGCATTCCCATCTCTACATGACTATTCTGTCACTGTGATTTTCCACTCTGTCAGGTTGGTATGCAAAAAAAAAAACATTGTCTTGAACCGTTTCTATTTATCTTGTCCAAGTATTTTATCCTTAAGCTCTTTATCCCCTATTTTGCTGCAGTTCAAATGCACAGGCTGATCTAAGCAGGACAGGGTAAGACAGATAAAGTTAGCAACCTTTTACAGAAATAAATTAGATACCTGTATGCCATCATTTATGTCATCAATAATTTAGCAAGAGAAAGTACAAGATTTAGGCAGTTTTACTTACAGTGGCCTTGATTTATGAAATAATTATACACTTTGTGCCTTCTCCATCTTAACAAAAGTACTTCTGTAAGAACACTGAAGATTTTCAATTTTTTATTGATTGCACTTAAGAATACGCAAACAAAACCCTCAAGAGATTCCAAGTTATCTCTTACATCTTTATGAAGGGGAGCATTTGGGCTTTTCATATACCTGGATGTACAATGTAAAGGCTTGTAAAATGCTATTTACAGTAGCTAACTGCTGGCAGTGCAAATCTACTCGTTTTGTCTGTTTTGGAATTTAGAGAAATGTCTGAAGATTAAGCAGATGCTTCTGTGTAACATATTTTTGTTTCATGTAATTAATCATTTATACAATGTACATTTAAAAGGCTGAAACTGTATCCAGATTAGGCTAGCACACAATGCTCTACACCACTGGTGGAGAGGATCTCTACTATACCACTGGTATACAGTAGTTTACATGAAATTAGCAGAAAGAAATAAACGGTTTATATTCAGAAAACCATACAATACTTTTTACTTACTACATTCCTCCATCTTTTTTAAAATAACATCTACAGGATCCACAACATTTAACACACCATTCAATTCCTAGTCCAACACCTTATACTATCTGGATTTAACATCTGTTGCTCTCTCTTTGCTGATCATCAACCCAGTCTTTTCAACTCATCTACATTTTTGCTGTTTCCTTAGGAGTCCCTTTTCCTCACTTTCCTGTTCAATCCCTATTCTGCCCAGACTTCACTGGCTGCCTATTTCTTAACACATTATTTAAAATCATTGTTCTTATCAAAATCACTACTCTTCCTTTTGTTCCCAACTGAACATATTAGATTCAATTTGATGCAAGTGCATAAACTATACAGCAAGCGGCATGAAAAGGCAATTTTAATAACACCTAAAGAAAATATAGTGGATTACAGGAGTGCTCATTTCTTTTCTTTTTCCTATAGGAATTGCCAGGCCTACTTTATAGCACACAATACCAGTTCATTGCCCTGCGTTTGATGTCATAAAGCAGAAACACATTGACTTTATATAATTGGAAATGGAATTGTGCATTACCATGACCTGCATTAGTTTTCCAAACAGTGTGCACGTTTCTTTTTAATCATGGCTGTGGCTGACTTTATTTGAATAATGGATGCCACTATGCCCAGCTGCTCTGAGGTTTTGAAGACAGGTAATTGCTCTGAAGCAGATCCTTTTCCTTGCAGCTTATTTTAATAACATCTCCAGTAGACAGTATGCTTAAACATAATGACAAAGCAAAATGCTTCTTTACATATCAATTAATAAATGCAACATAACACATTAGTGCCTTTAGGGGGGGGGGGAAAGTCTGAAAAGCATAACACTCAATGAAGTTGATGCCAAGTTTATTCATATAATCATTGTTTTTCTGACGAGATGCCGCATACAAAAAGTGAGTGGTTCTGTCATGGAGGAAGCAGAGATGCTATTTCTCTGTCTCCCTGGGTGGGTCCTGAGTTTGTGGTTTGAGGCATCTGACAGTAAGTAGCAAAAAGCAACACCAAACATGTGGCCACAGATGATAACGAAAATAGAATAATAAACAGTAACAGAAAAACCATCATACCATCTTACCATGAGATAGTACATGCAGTACAAACTGTGCTTATTGAGTTGTGAAATCTTGGTGTATGAGATGGTAGTTTTTAATCTTATTATAAAGGTATCGTCATACCATTGTATGAATTGTAACCATAGGAACCCATGCTATTGTTATCCACCACGGCACCTCGTCAGAATGAGGATTTGTTTGATATCTTTTGCCTCTTTGAACACCCACACAGGAAATTACAAGACGGACAATAAAAAGTACAACTTTAGGTACTCTGCTTACTTCTTTTTAATGTCATAACTGTATTGAATATATACCATATATTGTTAAATCTAATGTCAAATTCCAATACATTTGTCTCTGAAAGTAAAAACAGTGCTAGGCCCCATATCTGATTTCAAATTATCAAAAGTCTATAACGCCTCCCTGTGGTGTCCATTTTGTGAAATTATAAATATTTTAATTCAACTCCTAAATGCTGTTCTGAAGTCTTCTAAGAGTAACATTACCATACATGCCAGCACAAACTAAAAAGGAAAAAACAGAAATATGTTGAGGGCATAACCATTCAGACTCATTAATTCAATATTTGGTGGAATCACCTCTGGCAGGAATTGTAGCTGTGAATCTCTTAGGTTAAGTATCTACCAACTTTGCAAACAGGCTTGGTGCAGTTTAGCCCATTCTTCTTGGTACATTTGGTACTTGGTACATTGGACTTTAGTTGGGCCACCCAAGGACATTTTCTTATTCCTAAGTAAGTTATTCCAGTGTAGCTTTGATCTTATGCTTTGAATCATTGTCCTACTGAAAGGTGTCATTTCACCCCAGTTTTGGGTCTCTAGCAGACTGGATCAGGTTTTCTTCTAGTCTTTGCCTGTTTTTTCC